GTCTCTTGAGAAACCTATATGTGGGTCAAGAAGCAACAGTGAGAATTGGACATGGAACCACTGATTGGTTCAAAATTGAGAAAGGAGTTTGGCAAGGCTGTATACTGTCACCCTGCCTATTTAACTTATATGCAGAGCACATCATGAGAAAGGCGGACCCAGATGAATCACCAGCTGGAATTAAGATTGCTGGGAGAAATATCAACAACCTCAGATATGCAGATGATACCACTCTAATGGCAGAAAGTGAGGAGGAACTAAAGAGCCTCCTTCTCGATGCGGGTGAAGGAGGAGACCGCTAAAGTTGGCTTGAAACTCAACATTAAGAAAACTCAGATCATGGCATCCGGTCCTTTCACTTCCTGGCAAATAGATGGGGAAGAAATGGAGGTAGTGACAGATTTTATTTTCCTGGGCTCCAAGAACACCGCAGATGGGGACTGCAGCCAAGAAATTAAAAGCCGCTTGCTCCTGGGGAGGAAAGCGATGGCAAATCTAGGCAGCATACTAAAAAGCAGAGACATCGCCCTGCCGACAAAAGTGCATATAGTCAAGGCTATGTTTTTCCCAGTTGCAATATATGGCTTTGAAAGTTGGACCATAAGGAAGGCTGAGCGCGGAAGAATTGAGGCCTTTGAATTGTGGTGCTGGAGGAGACTCCTGCAAGTCCCCTGAACCGCAAGGCAATCAAACCGGTCAGTCCTAGAGGAGATCAACCCTGACTGCTCTTCAGAAGGCCAGATGCTGAAGATGAAACTCAAATACTTTGTCCACCTAATGAGAAGGAAGGACTCCCTGGAGAAGAGCCTAATGCTGGGCACAATAGATGGCAAGAGGAGAAGGGGATGGCGGAGAGTGAGGTGGCTGGACGGAGTCACTGGGGCAGTGGGTGTGAGCTTGGGTGAACTCCGGGGATGGCGGAGGACAGGAAGGCCTGGAGGAGTGTTGTCCCTGGGGTCGCGACGGGTCCGACCTGACTTTGCGACTGGCAACAGCAACAGCAACGCATTTCTGTGGGGGCTGGAGCAATTGGGAAGCACCACAGGCAAGCAGGTACACTTTGGAGGGGAAGGCAGAACCTGTGCAGCCAACAGGAACAAAGCAAGTGATGACGTCTCTGCTGTTAGGCAGCCATGGGTAGCGGAGATCGAATGGCAGAAGCAGCTCCTTCTGGTGCCACTCTTTCCACAGTACTCTATGGTGTCTTTTCACCATGAATGGAAAGAGTGCTCCCAGGTCTGGAGGTCACCATAGTCCATTGCAGGACGTGGGAACCATGAAACAGACAGTTGTTTCTTGCCGTGGATTCCAGGCCAGAAGTCATCTGTGATGACACAACGCAGCTGGGCTGCGCACTGGGACAGGCCTTTTCATCACTCCACCGCTTGATCCACGAAATCCAGAGCTGCCGAACGCCTCCTGCAGGGGAGAAGACTTCCTGCGGGGGTGACCCATCAGTGCATGGGGGCTGCCCCAAGCAAGGATCCACTGAAGAGCTGCTTCACTTAGCTTAAGGTCATTTCGTGGAAGGAAGGAGGCTTTCCACCCCTGGCCTTGGGCCAGTCCCAGACTGGATGCCCCCAGGCCTCGCCTCCAGGGAAATGCCTGCCCCGAGCTTCCTTCCCACTGGGGCCCTCTTACCTCTCCCTGGGTCCGTGGCAACTCAAACCAAAGTTGTTGCCGGAGACCTGAAGCCTGGCCACACCCGAGCTCTCCCACGCCCTTCTGTGGACACGTCTTCTGGGGTAATTGGAAGGTTGCCTTCAGAACTTTGGACCCTGCCAGCCAGATCCAGCACGTCGGCTGTCGCTTGCGCAAGCGCCCGCTTTAGGCAAAGGCCCAGGGAGCCAAAGCCTCGCTGCTCGTCTCGCTTGCTCCTAGGTCTGCCAGGCTGGCCAGGGAGCTTCTGGGGCGTGGAACATCCAGGCGGAGCCCCGCCACCTTGCCTCTGGCCACCGGCGGAACACGTGCTTCTTGTGCTTCCTGTCTCCAAGATCTGAAGAAGGAAAACGGTGGGATGCAAATACAACCATAAATGACAGCGAGGATGATCGGGAAAGAGTCCCTCGTGAGTACCAGCAACAGAATCTCTGTGGTTGGACTATTGCAGTGTGCTCTGCTTGGGGCTGCCCTTGAAGACGGTCCGGACACTTCAATTGGTCCAGAATGGAGCTGCCAGGTTGTTAACGGGGACCGGTAGATACTCCCATGTCACACCGGACTTTTATCGTCTCCACTGGCTGCCAATTGAAGTCCAGGCCCAATTTAAGGTGCTGGCAATGACCTATATGGCCCTAAACGGCTTGGGTCCTGGATACCTGAAGGGGCGCCTCCTTCCCTATATGCCTGGCTGCCCCTTGAGCTCAGCGGCAGAGGCCCTTCTCCAGGAGCCCTCCTCGAAGGAAATTAGGGCGGCAGCTACCGGAGAAGGGCCTTTTTGGCGGTGGCGCCCCCACTGTGGAACACACGCCCCAGGGAGGGTTGCCTGGCACCCTCGCTCTATTCTTTTCAGCATCAGGCAAAGACCCTTTTATTTTCCAACAGTTAATTGGTTTTATCCTTGATATTATCATCATTTATCAGATGCACTGTGTTGTGTGTTGCATATGGTTGCTTTGTTTTTGTTTTTTGGGGTTTTTTGGGTAAGCCATCTGGAGACTTTCTAGTATTGGACGGCATCTAAAAACTTGAAATAAATAAATGAATAAATCTGCCCCAGGGTCAGTACCTAGCATCTTCTCAGCTGAAAGGAAAGCACCCTCCTCCGCCTGAGAATTTGCTGCGGTTTTCAAAGCTTGCCGCGTACAGCAGCCCGGATGCCAAGCTGGGGGAGATGCTGGCTGCTGGCGATCCGGGGCCACAGGGAGCCGCGCTCTGGCCTAGTATGCGCATGGTGTCCTCCACGTAGTACAGGAGGCGCAATCTGCCAGGGCCTGGGAAGGAAAGTCTGTTGCGCAAGTGCCCAGCCGCTGCAAGATAACAGGCAGGAGAGACACCAGGAAGGATTGCTCAGTGGGGAGGCGGCGGCAGCGTCCTTTACTAATCTATCTGGGCCCCCCGACATCAAAAGCGATGCCAGGCTGGTTGGTGACAAGTGGATTAAAACAGGCTCAGCCTCAGAACACGGTAAGACAACATAATGATGGAAACAAATGAGGAAGGGCGGGAATGCCTGAGCATTTCTGAATGCAGTTCCTATCAGCCCCAGAAAGTCTAGGCAGTGGTGCGACCAAGTCTGGATGGTTCCCACTCCTAAAGAATAGCACCCCCCCCCCCCCCCCCGCCCCAGGTAAGCCACTCTGGGAATTCCACAAGTGGGATTATTAATATTTTGGTTATTGTTTGTTTCTATACTGCCCAGTGGCCTCTGGGTGCTTTGCACCAGTATCCACGAACAGTGCGATGAAATGCAAATTAAATGCTACACAGTGCAATAGAAAAAAGAAACACAAAAATTGGAAAGCAGCGAAGAACATACGGGTGGGGGATGACGCCGTCTCAGTTGCTGCCCACCTCTGACGGGAGAGCAGCAGCGACTGCTCTCATTTCAAGCAGAAATGGCAGTGGGCAAAGAATGTGCGTCGTGGGGGCTGAAACCACTCGCAGTTGACTTCCTACTTGAATCAAACAAATGGTCTGCATCCAATCTCATCTCCTTCACCCACCAGGAAGCACTTGGGTCACATTTTACCTTAGCCACAAACTCACTGGAGAGCAAACCTTGATCAAGCCATGTCCTGCCAGTGCTCAGGCTAAGGAAGGATAAACTGGCCTGCCTCACAAAAGCGTTAAGAATTACAGGCATGCTGCTGCTGAGGAGCGTTGCGCACAGTGGTGGTGCTGGCGATGTAGGATATTAATATCGTTATGCTGCATTTATGGCTCACCTTTTTCCCTCTTGCAAAGAACCCAAAGCAGCTTACATAGCTCAATTTTATCCTGACAACAACCCTGTGAGGTAGGTTGGGCTGACAGTGAGTGCCTGGCCCCAAGCCACCTTTGTGGGGACTAGAACCCAGATTCTGTAGGCCTACCCCAAACTATCACCCCTCACTGGCTCCCAATTAAAGCACAGCAGCTTTAAGCTTGGTTCAGCTAACCCTAAACTCAACAAAAATGTGCAAGCTTTCAGGCTCTCCAGATCTCTTCTTAAGGCAAGATGTTACAAAAAGCATCTTTTCCTGCCTTATTTCTCTTGTGGCCAAAACGGTCTTCTGGCCTTTACAGTTTGAACGGGGGCGGGGGGGGGGGAGGATTCTACCCAAGTGTTTGGGTACAACCCACCGCAGGTTACCCAAGCCTACCATTCCCAGCCAGGCTGATTAAACGGACAAAGGGCTGCACCTTCAGTCCTGCATTTGGGATCAGTTCCCGGGAGGCGAACCCTGCTTGGAACACGCAAGGAATACACGGGTAAGGGCGCTGAGGCAGCCAGAAGCCCTGCAACTCCCGGCAGGGCGCACAGGATTGCATCCTCGGGAAAGGGACGCCGGAGGCCGCAGAGGCACCGGGGCGGCGCAGACCGGCCGGCCTCTGCCCAGTAGAGGGCAGCGCTGCCCGGCACCCCGCCGCGCCTCGTGGCGCTCCTTCCCTCGCGCGGGTGCGCGGCGAGCGCAGCGCCGGCTTTGTCTGGCGGAGCGCGCACCAGGCGCCCCGGACCCGCGCCGGAGACGTGCGCTGCAAGAGCCGACGGGCGAGAAGGGCTGGGCGGCGCTCGGCGCGGATTGCGCCCCTCCCGCTGCGCGCGTCGCCGGCGCCTCGGATGGAGAAGCGCGCGGCGGGCCTCCAGCGGCGCCCTGAGAGCGCGCGGGGCCCGCGCCCTCGGCCAGCCGGGCAGCGTGGCCGGAGAGGCCGGTCCCCTCGCGGGGCGGGCGGGCGCGCGGGCCGCCCTTCGCCCGGCGCTCCGGCAGGCGCCCGCCCCTCCCTGACGTCAAGGAGGGAGGCGTGCGGAAGAAAGAGGGAGCCGGGGCGGGCGGGCGAGCGGAGGGAAAGAGCCTCCGCGCCACGGCAGCGAGCGGCAGCGCCGGATCTGCGGCGCGCAGCCAGGAGGCAGGCGAGGGGACCGGCGGCTCCGGCTGCGCCGCGCGGGGCAGCGCAGGCCGGCTGAAGCGCGGCCTCGGCGCACGCCTCGCTCCCCGGGAGGGCGGCCGTGTCGGCGTTCCCTTGTCCCCCGGAGCGCGCGGGGAGGGGACGCGCCGCGCCTTTGGATCTAGCGCCATCCCGGTCGCCGGCGGAGCTGACGGGAGCCCGGGCGAGCCGCGGGGGCAGGCGGGGCGCGGATCGGCGAGCGGACGGACGGACGGACGACGGGGCTGCCGGCGCCAGAGGTAAGCGCGGGCGCAACGAGCCGGAGGGACGCTCCTCGGCGCGGCGCGGCGCGCCGGAGGGAAGCCGCTATTGTCTCGCTCTCGCCGCCTCCCTCTCCCTGCGCCTGGCCCGATGTTTACATGCGGGGGGGGGGCGGCTGGAGAGGGGTCTCCGGGCCGGGGGCGCCGCTCCGCGCACAACTCCCGATCGCTCGCGGCAAGCCAAAGGGAGAGAAAGGCGGGGGGGGGGAGGCGGGAGCCCCCCCGTGCAGAGGAGCGCGGGGGGGGTGCGGAGGAGCTGCTCCTTGCGCACGCTCGGCCCTGCCAACTAAGAGGGAGTTTCCTCGGGGAGGCCCCCCCGCGCGCCCATTCGCACCCCCACTTTTTCCGGTAGCAACCTGCGCAGCAGGGGCGCGCGTACGGAACTTCGCCCCCCCCGGTGCATTGCGTGTTTCGACCCCCCCTCCCCCCGCACACGCATTCTCTAAAAGATCGCCCCGCTGTTGCGCAGAGCCCACTCGGATTTGCAATTCGTTCTTAGGCTCCGTGGAAAGAGGAGCGGGTCTCGGATCGGGTCGCGATCCTTCGCCCCTCGACTAAGCTCGACCCTGGGATCCAGCGGGTCGCTTTTAGGCAAAGCTGGGCAGTGCCGCCCTCTTTGGAGATCGCGAGGGTGTTGCAGTGGGTGGGTGTGGAAGGGCGGCGGTGCTTTTCATGTGGCATTGGATCATCCCTTCCCCATTCTGCGCCGTATTACAGGGGAGTAAGCTGCACTGATTCCAGCCGGACTTCCTGCCCCAAGTGGATGCGTGTCCAAGCGTCTTCTCCGACTCCCCTTCTGTTGTCCCCACATCCAGTGGCTCACTGTAGCTTTTGCTTTTGTTTCTAAGCGTTTACACATAAGTTGCGGGTTTGTTAAAACCTTTGCACCTTCCATTGTGCCTGTTTTCGTTTTGAGCCAGAGAGAAACAGCTGTGGAAAGTTTTGCCGCTCCCTTCGCCCACCCTCGCCTTAATCCCCCGCTCCTTTCTGCGTGCGCACTCCGGGGTGTTTTGTAGTCTCTGCTTTTGATCCGGATCAGGTTTCTTCCCGTATCGCTTCCAGCCTGCTCTAGACGGGGGCTCCCCCCTTTCTTCCCCGGGGCACTTGCTCCATCACTTGGCAGCCGAGCGGCCGGCCCTTCCCTTGTTTACTCAGAAGTAAGTTCCGCCGAGCTCAGTGGGGCATGCGCGCCCAGGCGGAGTGCGCGCGTCTGCTGCCGGCGCGTGCTCGCATCTTCCCAGACAGCAGCCCCCGCGAGCCCAGCGGGACTTCGCTCCTAGTTTTCGGTGTGCGCGCACTGAGCTGCGGCTCTAAAGTGCGCCTGGAGCTCGTGTCTCCCTCGCACAGGTGGATGGGGCTGAAGCTGCTGCTCTTGGATCCTGCTTAGCAGGCTGACAACCAGAAGCCAGCTGCCTGCAAGAGAATCGTGAAAATGATTCTAGCAGACGTTTGGCTGATGAAAGCTCATCTGCTCAGCCTTTCCTCTCCTTCCCCATCTTTTTTTTTAATCTACTGTCATCGGCGCCCCCATCCCTGCCACAGGCTTTTTTGAAGAAAGCAGAACCACATGCTCCATTAATGTCTCTTGTCAACACACCTTTGGGTCCTTCTAAAGCCGCTTACCCTAACCCACTGCTCTTCTGATGTCTAGGACTACAATGCCCATAGTCTCCAGCCAGTACACATCTGGAAAACACCTGGGGCAAGGGGAAAGCTCTTTTAGCTGGTAAGGATGGGGCTAGCCAGCCAACGGATTAACCCATGTCTGGCTTAGCTTCCTTTGTTTTAAAGCAGAGCAACGCATAAAGGTCCCTGTTGAGTTGTGTGTATGTGTGTGTATGCACCACCATCTGGGAATCTAATCTCCTGGATGGGTTGTGCTCCCTGCTTATCTTCTCTTCTTTCTCTTCCGCCTTTTTTCTTTGGAGTAATTCAAAATCACACGTTACTCTCCAGAGCTTGTTTCCATCAGTACAAATGCCAGAAAGGCACCAGGGGTTCATAGAGGGTTTTTTGGTTTTTTTAAACAAGCAAATAAATAAATAACTGTCCAATCAGAAATTTGCCAAATGGCTCTGCTTGTGCGCGCGCGCGCGTGCTCTCTCTCTCTCTCTCTCTCTCTCTCCACCCCCCCCCTTCTGGTGTCTTGGCACACAAATGCCAAGTAGGACCTGCACAGAAGGAAGGTTGCCAAAGGAACAGGAAATTAGCTACCTACTTTGCGCTTGTGCCTTCCACAGCAGTTGGATGGCAAATGGGGCTGGGGGGCTTCTCAGGGTGGGCAGACTGATGGGTGTCTGTGTCCACGGGTTCTGGTGGGGCTGCTGAGCAGCTGCTTTCAGTGAGGCACCGGCCCACTGGGCAGTGGAAAAACTGATGCCTGGCCTTGCGTGGAATCTCACAGTGCAAAGGCTGGAGGCAGGAGACTGGGTCAAGAGTCGCTCCTAGAAATCTCCTCCTGCTCTTGAAATGCAGAGAGGAGGATTTCCCCCCACCTCCTCAAAAGGTCATGGAAACGTACCAGCTCCAGGTTCAGGACTGCCAGGAGGAAAGTTGCAAAGGCTGAATTTGCTTGTGCAAATCCTCTGGCACAGGATGCGATGGCTGTGAATGTGGGTGCCTTTTAGAAGGACCAGACAGACCTACAGAGGGGTTTGTAAGCAGCTGCTGGTCAGTTTGCTAAACAGAGCCTCCAGTTTCAGAGGCAGTGTACCAGCCGGCTGGGGCAGGTGACGGGGAAAAACCTTTGTTGTCATGTCCCGCTGGCATGTGGACAGATGTGTCTGCCTTGCTTGCAAAAGTAAGGCTGGACTGAAGGGACTTGTTTTGACTCCGCAGGTTCCTATATCATTGCTTTTACTCTGAATCAGGGTGGGTATAACTGAGGCCTGCGCCAGGAAAGCATTTCCCCTTCCATTCAGTCCGTGCCGGGGGGGGGGGGGGGGGTACTAAACTTATTTTTTTTTGCCCCCCCGCCGGGGGGGCGCCGGTGGAATTA